GGGCCACTATAGTGGCTCGTGGTATCGAAAGGGTTAACGGTAAATTGTCTGACTCGGCCGAGTTAGGCGCGATTCGATAGCCTTGCTTGAGAATCTTCATACGATCGTTTGCCGGAGCCGATTGCAGAAAAAAAGATGGTATCTCCTAAGACGGCTCGTTACATAAGTATATACCGATAGCTAGCTAGTCGGCATTGGAGTCCCCAAGACTGACTTCTGTGCCGTGTCTTCGACGCGAATCTGCGGTTTCCTTAGCTTGCTCAAGTATTTAGCGCGTTGGAACTGTTTTTCGTCGCGAGCGACGCAGTCGCAAGAATGTTGTCCCCGGCGAGATCCACCGATAGAGTTTCTACGTAAAATAAAAACGAAAGGCGAATACGTAAGAACCAAAATTTACATTATAAGAGAGAAATTTACATTATATAGTACAAACGGGTCCCAGTTATTTCTTTCCCAGTGTTACAATTTACCCGATCGAGCCATGGAAGCCAGGGCTATTCGATCAGATTCTGTTCTTTCGGTCCGGCCTCGCATAAGCGGGGCTGCCTCGGGCGAGCGGAATCCACTGTATCCGCAAGAAGTGGAACCGGTCGGTCATGGTCAGACGGCCGAGCCGGTTCCCATTCGGTGGCACGCGCGCTCGCCGAATTTTGTGAACTCGTTTCTCTCGAAAACGAAGCCTCGAACGGGAAAGCTTCGTTCCACATTTTCAAGTTGCCTCTTCGGGTAGAATCAGAAGACCCTCTCCACGGTCCCGTCACCGACAGTGTTACCCGACAGTCCTATACCGATTCTCCGCAGATCGAATCCCGTCGGGCCCGCCGAGCACCGTTCGGTGATTCGAATCGGCGGGTGTTTCCCGGCGACGTCGGTGTCTCGTGGATCCAAAAGCGGGTTCATTCATGAGCGGGCGACGCGCGTCGCGGCCGGTACACGTGACTCTGCCGGACCCTACAGTCGCACACCGTTCACGGCATGGCACCGCTGGTAGAAGAGCAGCGGCAGCTTCCTACTCGCGATCTATACGACGTGTGTACACGTCTGTGTGCGTGCGTGTGTGTGTGTATGCTCTTCTCTCTCCCTCGCGCGCGCGCGCCTTGTGTGTTTGCGCGTGTGTGTCCGAGTGTTTGTGGCAGCGAAGGACCGGCAGAGCCGCGGCCACAGTAGCAGCCGAAGCGTCTGTGCTCAGTCTGCAGCCAGCAACGGCCAATCAGGCTCTGGCTGGGTGCTCCAACGCCTGCACCTTCCGTACTCTACGTTGGTGCATGAATGGATCCACTACACCTACCCCCACCATACTTTCTTTCGCCCACCCACGACTCCCTGTCCTCCCTCTCTCTCTCTCTCTCTCTCTCTCTCTCTCTCTCTCTCTCTCTCTCTCTCTCTCCCTCTCTCTCTCTCTCTCTCTCCCTCTCTCTCTCTCTCTCTCTCTCTCTCTCCAGCCCCTCTCCACCCTTCCTGCACCCCTCTCTTTTCTTCTTCTACTTCGTATTATTATTGTCTCTCTTCCGCGGACACATCTCTCCCCCACCCCACCGCGGTTTCTCTTTTCTTCCCCTCTCTTTCTTTAGTCTTATTATCGTCGCTCTTTCTTGCGCAACCATGCGCATCTTTCTCTCTCTCTCTCTCTCTCTCTCTCTCTTTCGCAGCTACCCCATTCGAGTGGTGGTCCCGAGTTCGTCGCACTCTCTCGAGGTTCAGTCGGTCGGTCGGTCGATCCGGCGGTCGCTCGTGTGGTCGTTGTCGTCGCTGCGAAGTTCAGTTGCAGCCGCGGTTACCTGCATTGTTCCATAGATCGTGCTCGGCAGAGAACTCGGACACAGTGTGCGGACGATCGCGATATATGGTACAGGGTGATCGGGATGGCGGACGATCCGGGACGTTGGTCTGGGAAGAAGTTTCTCGCTACTTTCCTGCTGCAGGAAAAGGTTCGTTTGGATCGTACTGGCTGCGGAAGGTTCGACGCGATTTTAGAGGAAGTTCAGTGCGACACCGTGGACGTAGAGAGTCAGCCGGTTTCTCGGATCGCTGTTCTTTGGGAAGGAAGTATCGTTTGATTTCATTGCTCCGGGAGGAAGTTGTCGATCGTAGAAACGGATGTTAATCGGAAACGACATTATTCTGTTATGCTCGTTTCTTGGATTTTCGCGTGCCCCCTCGCCCTAATCGGACGTTTGAAATGGTGAACTAAACGGAAAAGGCGGTGTTTAACAACAACAAAATTCGTACACGATTAAGATCCCACACACCGTTATCGATCATCCTGTTCGGTAGCCGAAACACGGGTTTCAGGTTTCGGTACCCTCGAACACACAAGCCTCTCCCCCCCGTATCGGTTTCACCGCACTATACGCCTCGTCCTGACGTCAAAGGCATCCTCCTGGTGGTATTTTCATAGCCGATTACCATTACTCTCGAGAAACGGAGGATCACGCGTGGATTCGTATTCCGCTGGTCGTTGTCCAGCGTATCCTGAAGCAGAAGACGGTCGCTAACCGATGGTAGAAGCAGCGACTGTTCTTGCCGATTTTGTCAATATGCCATCGACCTTTAGGCGTCCATATTATTTTTATTCGTGTTATTATTGTATAATATTATACCGATATATGATATTATATATCGGTGCACGAATGAAAATAATATGGACGCCTAAAAGTCGGTGGCATATTATTATATAGTTATAATATTATATATATATATAAATAATATAATAAAATATAAAATATAATAAAATAATATGGACGCCTTAAAGTCGGTGCCATATTATTATTATTATTATTATTATTATTATTATTATTATTATTATTATTATTATTATTATATATATATAATATGCCACCGACTTTTAG